GCTGTTACTAAAGGCTGGTGAAGAAGTGAAAGTGATCTTGAGTGGTGATGGTGCAACTATGAAAGAGGTGAGATAAAGAGAGAGAGAGAGAGAGAGAGAGAGAGATAAAACGAGAAAAAAAGAAAAATAACATTAAAAACGGAATAATATGACACTACAACATAAAGTGACCAAAAATATAAAAAATACACACAAAATATACACATACAATTTGCAATACCATTAAAACACACATACTGATTATTGTTATTGATACTTACAAAAAATAATTCTAAAAAAAATACCTGTATCTATATTTTATACTAATTTTATGTTTTGTTAATTAGATAAGTCAATGGTGTAAAGAAAATATAATTAGTTGGTTTAATTAGCTGGTATGATAATGATTTTTATTTGTGGTTTCATTCGTGATAACACCACATCCTACACCACACCACCATCACCACCACACACAACACCTCCATTACACCACACAACATCTTACGTCCACCACATCATCACAATACCTTACCACCATACTCAACACCACACCACCACAACATCTCACATCACCACAAACACCATTACATCACCACCACAATCCCCCACATCACACAACACCACCATAACATAACACATCACCACAAACACCATTACATCACCACAACACCCCACATCACACAACACCCACACCACCACAACATAACGCATCACCACCACAACACCCCCACTCCACAACACCCCCCACTACGCACCCCCCCACTCACGCAACACCCCCACTCCACAACACCCCACCACTACGCAACACCCCCTCCCACAACACCCCCCACTACACCCAACACCCCCACTACGCAACACCCCCCACTCCACAACACCCCCCACTACGCAACACCCTCCACTACACACACCCCCCCACTACACAACACAAGTCTCCATCCCAATATCAACAAGTCACCTTACCGCTACTACACCCACTGACTCCAGAGCTCCAAGACACCATCAAGCTTCCAGGAAACTCATCAAGTAAGTTATCAGCGGAAGTCCAAGTAACTCTGAGATAAATGAAGCCCCGTGATGCTTGAAAACTGTCTTCCTGTACTATACTTGAAGGACGCGCAAACGATACAGACGAGCAATGTATTATAAGCGAGGTGTATATTACTGTATGTGTCATCTGTGTATATGTGTTTTAATAACCTTGGTTCTTGAAGAGTTGTAAGATTAAATGGTAAATTAACTGTGACGTTTATATTTTTCTTGGGTGTGTAGTAGTAGTAGTGTTTACATCTGGTGGTTCACATACGCTAACATCAGGTGGTGTATGTGAAGTAGTAGTGTTTACATCTGGTAGTTCACATCCATCACCATCAGACTCAATATATCACTGCCCCAGTGGAGCGCTCGATGCCCTCTGAGGACGTACGTGTGTGTGTGTGTGTGTGTGTGTGTGTGTGTGTGTGTACTACCACCCTTTACTGGTTTAGCTGTAAGCGAGTTTTTGTGTCTCTTGCGCAATGGTGGGGAAAAGTAGAAAGGGAGTGAGATGGGGGTGGAGGAAGTACCGTAGGTGAGAATGAAGGAATGAAGGGTGAGGGAGGAAAAGGAGAGATGGAAGCAGAAGAGGAAGCAAGAAGGGAGGAGGATTGATTTTTTGATTTTGCCGCTTGCAGCGGCTACTTTGTGTGCACCCCACACTCATCCTGTGAGCAGTAGCGCAAAGGATTACAGAGTAGGGTTTACAAAGGGTCATAATAATTACCCGGTTGTCAGGATATTATGGCACCGAAAGTTACACAGTATTTCATTTACATTATTTGTTTAGTTCTATACATAGAGGGTAACTTATTCACAAATGCGTGAGAACAGGCGTGTGAGGCAGTATGTCTGGCCTCACACTTTATTATTCACATTTACGTGGGAGGTATTCAAGCACATTGCGTATTTGGTTCTGTACATGAGAACTGATATAGTTACTGAGTGCAAAAAGTGGATACAATCTTAATATGTCGGCTATCTTGCCATTAGAGATGAAGTGTTGTGCCATTTCACACACAGTGTGCTTGGACCTGTCCCTAAGGTTCTATCTTCACACAGTCGAGGACGTAGTGTTCAAGTGTGTGGCCATATGTATATCACACACTTTTACATTAGTTTTGTTTACATCTGCTTGAGGAACATACTGCCAGAAGTACATATCCTAACCTTAATCTAGCGGTTACAACATCTTGTAATCTAGTGATCTTGTTACTTGCTCCATATACATGTTTCACTTGATACATCTCATCATAGTAAACTATGGATCGACTAGTGCCTGTTTGCACTTGTCTACTTGCGTCAAACTCATCAATAAGTTCTTTCTAATTACAGTTTTAAGGGTTCTTTTTGACAGAACCCAAATTGTATTCAACGGTGTCTTTGTTAGACGCGAGTTTGGCGAGGGCATCAACTCTGTCATGTTTTATGAGGCCTATGTGAGAGGGATCCACAACAGTTTGACCTTGACACCCCGGTCAACAAGGCACGCATATTTGTGTCTGGCTTCAGAGACAGATCGTGACAACCTGAGTCGAGGGTACCAGGGCAAAGTAGTGAGGATAGAGAGTCAGTGATGATGAGACTGTCAGTAACAGTGGTTTCAATGAATTTAATAGCTGTGGTATGGCAACTAATTCAGTTTGTAGAGTGGATGCCAGTTGTTAATTCTAACTCCTTTCTCAGTTATATTACCGTCAGGTTGAGTCACAACAACAGCACTTCAGCCCTCCACAGGCGGTGTTTAGAGATCCATCAGTGTAGATGGTCTGTGTGATATTATCATCAGTCTGTAGAGTGTGTATGTGTTCAAGGGCTCTCAATTTATCTCCAACACACTGCCAAGGGAGGAGGAGGAAGCAGGGGTGTTAATACGCTCCAGGCAAGGTCGGTTGTGTGCCTCCTCCCCCTCTCCTCCTCCTTAATCCTCCCCACCTCCTCGTGCCCATCACTGGATAACTGGGGAATAACATGGACATAGAAGAGCAGAAATGAGAGAGAGAGGGGGTAAATGGTTTGTTTTGAGGTCAATATTATTAGGTCAAACATGCGGTACTAACAGGAAGTGTGGGGTAAAACAACACACAACATACACCGACACACGGAACACACTCCCGGACACACACAGACACACACTCCCGGACACACACAGACACACACTCCCGGACACACACAGACACACTCCCGGACACACACAGGAGACACACTCCCGGACACACACAGAGCACACACTCCCCGGACACACACAGACACACACTCCCGGACACACACAGACACACACTCCCGGACACACACAGACACACACTCCCGGACACACACAGACACACACTCCCGGACACACACAGACACACACTCCCGGACACACAGACAAACACAGAGAATAAAGGATGAATGGAGAGTAGGAATAATAAAATTTTGTGTACAGAGGAGTTAGTAAAGAAGGTGGGGAGGAGAAGGAAGGAAAGAGGGGTGGTGGGAGGGAGGAACTTAAATAAAGAACTATATATTGATCATCTTACTACCACAACTACCACCACCATCACCACTAACCACCCTCCCTGTAATCGGTTCTAACTACCTATGTATATCTATCTATATATCTTATCTATCCATGTATAAGGTGAAGAAATATACATATATAGATATCGTAGGACCAATATCACTCGGACGAATTCAACACCAGAACTATATTTTCGAAGGACCATTGACATTACGACACAGGAAATTTCAATGTTAATTTTGCCCCTTAACTGGAGATGTGAAGACTCTAAAGCTGGTTCAATTAAGCTTCCAAATGGCGTCTAAATGGCACGGAGACTGTACTGTAACTAGATTTCAGTGTCTTTTGGGGAGAATTTTCATTTATTAAGCTTACGATGTTTTGAGGGTGTTTTTAGTTTAGTTATTTACGTACTTGTATCTTTAGCTGTGGGGTTTGTTTACTCTATGAATATTTATTTGGGAATCCGGATTCAACTCGACTTAGGGGATACGAACGAATCTTTTTTTGTTTTTGTTTTTTCATCTTTTTAAGCACAATGACTTAATTAACTACTTTTTTCCCATCATTTTTTCTATGCCTATTGTCACCATAAAAGAATCACTCCTATACAATGGGGAATTAAATCGGCATGAACAGGACCCTTGTAGTTAGCGAAAAAGTGATATTTTAATTTTTATTTTTGGTTTTTCGGCAGTTTGGCACGCTGAGCATTGCCGGATTTGGAGGTTAAGAGTACAATGGAAATTAAATCACTATAAACAGCAATTGGAATGTAGAAAAAAAATAATCTCGATTTATTTGGCTGGCAGAGCAAGGTTATGCAGAGCTGGGGACTAAAAGCGCTATTATGGAGCGAGAATTTGTTACTTTGATACTTGAGAGAGACGGTCATCATCACTAACGCTTAACAGTGAAGTATTAAGAGTGAGAGACGGTCATCATCACTAACGCTTAACAGTGAAGTATTAAGAGTGAGACGGTCATCATCACTAACGCTTAACAGTGAAGTATTAAGAGTGAGAGACGGTCATCATCACTAACGCTTAACAGTGAAGTATTAAGAGTGAAGACGGTCATCATCACTAACGCTTACAGTGAAGTATTAAGAGTGAGACGGTCATCATCACTACACTAACGCTTAACAGTGAAGTATTAAGAGTGAAGACGTCATCATCACTAACGCTTAACAGTGAAGTATTAAGAGTGAGAGACGGTCATCATCACTAACGCTTAACAGTGAAGTATTAAGAGTGAGAGACGGTCATCATCACTAACGCTTAACAGTGAAGTATTTAGAGTGAGAGACGGTCATCATCACTAACGCATAACAGTGAAGTATTAAGAATCGGCAAAATAATGAAATGTTATTCGTCTCACAGCGTCATATAGACTTGACTTGGTCCGCTACAGTTGAGCGAAATATTTTCTACACTGAGCGGCAGCTGTGAGGTTTAAAGGCGACGCTCAGAGCTTCAGTACGCGGTGGACAGTGAGAGGAAGGGTCATGTCGCTCGTGTCCTCGTTCAACATTGTCACGCTTTGTTAAATCCTAAAAGTTTTACCTGAAAATGGATAAATAAGTCGACCATAATACCACACCCGCTTCCCCAAGTGGAACAATGTGTGCTCTTAAGTGGTAATATGTTCAGATTTTAACTCATAATTGAAAATGTGGAAATAGTGACTTAAATTTCGTCAAAAATAATTGGAAACATTAATAAATAACAGTTCCCATACTTAAATGTTCATAAGTAACATTAACGTCTTGTGAAGTATAAGACATAAATTTTAAGTTGACTAGAGGATTGTAAGTGTTGGTAGTTACATTACCATAGTCTCCTGACACGTGGACTCTGCTATGAGCAAGTAAGTGCTGTTTTGAGGTGTTTACTTTTATAAGTATTTTAAGTATGATGGCTGAACACCTACACACGTTAAGTAAGTAGTATATGATGGCTTAACACTTATATCTGTTAAGTATTATGATTTACACTTATACATGTTAAGTAATGTATGATCGATTGACAGGTGTTAAGTAAGTTATGTAGTTACTTTGTATATATTTAAATATAGGATGGCGGTTACGTTATAAGTATTGAGTGAATACAGTATTTTATGATCGACTGACACATTGTATTGTCTTAAGTATACATTATTGTGTATACTGTCTATAATACACTGAACCATATAATACACTGAACCATATAATACACTGAACCATATAATACACTGAACCATATAATACACTGAACCATATAATACACTGAACCATATAATACACTGAACCATATAATACACTGAACCATATAATACACTGAACCATATAATACACTGAACCATATAATACACTGAACCATATAATACACTGAACCATATAATACACTGAACCATATAATACACTGAACCAAATCTGTGCTCGAATAACAATTTTACTAATTAATTATGTCTGGGTAAATATCAATCTCATTATATCTATACATCTATCTTATCTATCTATTAGTCATTCTGTCAACCTATCTATCTGCATGTCTTGTCTGAATGTCTGTCAGTCTTGTCTGAATCTTGTTTATCTATCTCTGAATCGCCTCGTAACAGGGGAAAGCGTCTTCAAATCACATCGTCACGACTTGTTCCCGTGATTACAAATGGGCTGGTGTGCGTTCGTTATACATACAGACTCCCCTCCCTTCCTCCCTCCCTTCCCCCTCCCTTCCCTCCCCTCTCTTCCCTTCCTCCCCTCTCTTTTCCCTTCCTCCTCTCTCTTTCCTTCCCTCCCTCTTCCTTCCCTCTCTCTCTTCCTTCCTCCCTCTTCCTTCCTCCCTCTTCCTCCTTCTCCTCCCTCTTCCTTCCTCCTCTTCTTCCTCTCCTCTCTCTTCTTCCTCCTCTTCCTTCCTTCTTCCTCCTTCTTCCTTCCCTCTTCCTTCCTCCTCTCTTCCTTCCCCTCTCTTCCTCCTCCTCCCTCCCTCCCTCCTCTCTTCCCTTCCTCCCTCTCTTCCCCTCTCTTCCTCTCTTCCCTTCCTTCTACACCTCCCCATTATTAGTAACGGGTCGTGTTGTGGTGATGGATGTGTTTCCCCAGTGAGAGCCAGGGAAGGGAGTAACGCTGGTGGGTGTCACTGAGGGATGGTAAGTAACGCCGCCCCGTAACTCAATAATGGTGCATGACGCCTAACCTAACCTAACCCAATTAATTACACTCAGATTCACAGAGCAAATTTTTCCGTAAGCTTTCACATCTCGCGTCAAGGTGGGTGATAATGGTGTGTCGTGAGGGGTGATAATGGTGTGTCGTGAGGGGTGATAATGGTGTGTCGTGAGGGGTGATAATGGTGTGTCGAGGGGTGATAATGGTGTGTCGTGAGGGGTGATAATGGTGTGTCGTGAGGGGATAATGGTGTGTCGAGGGGTGATAATGGTGTGTCGAGGGGTGATAATGGTGTGTCGTGAGGGTGATAATGGTGTCGTGAGGGTGATAATGGTGTATCGTCAGGTGATAATGGTGTGTCGTGAGGGTGATAATGGTGTCGAGGATGATAATGGTGTGTCGTGAGGTGATAATGGTGTATCGTCAGTGATAATGGTGTGTCGTGAGGTGATAATGGTGTCGAGGTGATAATGGTGTGTCGTGAGGGGTGATATGGTGTATCGTCAGGGTGATAATGGTGTGTCGAGGGGTGATAATGGTGTGTCGTGAGGTGATAATGGTGTGTCGTGAGGTGATAATGGTATCGTCAGGGTGGATAATGGTGTCGTGATGATAATGGTGTGTCGTGAGGGTGATAATGGTGTGTCGTGAGGGGTGATAATGGTGTGTCGTGAGGGGTGATAATGGTGTGTCGAGGGGTGATAATGGTGTGTCGTGAGGGATGATAATGGTGTGTCGAGGTGATAATGGTGTGTCGAGGGTGATAATGGTGTCGAGGTGATAATGGTGTGTCGTGAGGGGTGATAATGGTGTCGTGAGGGGTGATAATGGTGTGTCGTGAGGTGATAATGGTGTATCGTCAGGGTGATAATGGTGTGTCGTGAGGGGTGATAATGGTGTGTCGTGAGGGGTGATAATGGTGTGTCGTGAGGGATGATAATGGTGTCAGATTAAAAATAATATTACTGTTAAATTTTGTATACGTTTTACTATGTATAAATGTGTGTATCAGGTATGGATTATTATCTGTATACATTTATGAATATCACGACCCAATTATAGCCAATCTGGAGCCTAGTGCGTTTAAAAATTGGTATTTGTTGTGAATTTAAAATGAATGGTTTCTGTCGCAGGAAATGATGCACAAACCGGTATAATATCCACATCACTACCTTACATTAGTCACATGGTGTTATATATACTGTATACAACATCCAATACTTCCATAATGGGATTTTGATGAATGTGAAAAAAATAGCTACCACTGAAAGAAATAATGTTTTTTTGCTTTTTTTGTATTTGTATTATACGTGACAAGGCTATTATTACTTGTCATAATTGCTCGGGTTTCATTTATTTATATTAATTTTGTTTTTTACATTATTTTATCAGTACGATTATTTAAAAAAAAATCTGTTAAAAGTTGATTGGTGTAATTTATTCAGCGTTTGACGTCACACTGGGAATATACTTATTATAGTGCAGATAAATTATCCGTGTATGCATTGCCAGATATATTATTGTCTTGTGTAAATGATCACGTATCCGAATTCGGTTCTCAATGTGATCTTGTTAATGTGATCCGATACGTGCAGTTCATCGTAGCCTATGATAAAAACAACACGACTCACATGCACACACACACACACACACACACACACACACACACACACCATACACACACACACACACACACACCGGATTTACTTATCATTATACGTTAGGTTTGGTTTGTCTGTGTTTGTCTTGGTATATCACGTTTTATTTGCATAGTTTGTCGCATCCGTTTTTTGTGCTTAATATCATATCCGATTTTGTACTTGGACTGTCATATTCGACTCTACAAAAAAAAAAAACATTAAATAATCCGGATATGGGTCGGAAGTCGCGGTTAACTTAATGTGATATCTTGAGAGTGAAGGCGTCTCGTTGGTCAGGATAAAGCCGTATCAACATTTACATACCAAAAGGTTAAAAAAAAAAAAATTCCGTGAGTCCGGTTTAACTTTACTGTAAATCACGAGTTGCACCGTCATCATCAGCAGCCATTCATAGTTGTAAGCTGTGATTAATAGTGTCGTGTAATGTTTATAATAGCGGTGTCTTAGTCGTGAATGGATAAATGAGATAAAATAAAGGAAATAATTACGTAAATAGTCCTACGAGGAGGTTGGTGGTGTCTGGCATCTGAGTGGAGCGGGTATTGCCATGTTTTATGTAATTTATGTGTAATGTTCTGATTACAAATGAATCTGTATTTGTTGAGGGATATGACAAAACACAGGATTCAGAAAGGCTCTTACGATGGAATAATTCTCGTAACTTAAGATAAAAAAAAATCACCTTTTTTGCCAAATTAACTTAAGGTAAGCCAGAAATTACTTTAAATATACTGAAATTTTAGCATAACTAATATATATACATTAGCACCAGTCAGGAATATATTTTAAGTAAAATTTTCATGACATTTAAAGATAAGAGTATAATTTATCTTACGACTAGCGACTGCTTTTTTGAGAATCCGGACCGTAAATGTTGTTTTGTATTCTGCCCTGTGTGTTTATGCTGGCGAGGTGTGTTTGTGTATTCTGGTTAGCATCAACCATTCGTCTCTGTAATGTTAAGTAAGGTCTGCCTGCTGCCATGGTTGCCAAAGGACTAGTTTGTTCGTCATGAGAGGTGTCTGCGGTGGTGGCGGAGGAATACCATAAATGATTAGGCTGTGTTTGTGTTGTGAGGTCCAGGGACATCCACACACACACACATCCACACACACACACACACAGTTCGATTCTTCGGGTTATTTATATTTTACTTGTGTTGTCTTTGTGCTGTTCGATTACTTGTTTGTTTCTGTATTTGTTTGTCATTATTAACGTACTTGTTTCTTGTATTGTGTTCGTATTAATCTTGTGTATTTATCATGTAATACCCCCATGACCTTTTGAGGAGTCACAAGTATATATATATATGTAATGGCTGAGATGTGTCATGTAGATAAAGGAGAGGAATTAACGTGCGAACCTTTTGAGAATGAAAGTGGCCAGTCAGAGAGGCGTTCTCACATCACCAGTCAGCAGGCTATGTGAGTGGTGTAATTCTTGTGTGTGTGTGTGTGTGTGTGTGTGTGTGTGTGTGTGTGTGTGTGTGTGTGAAGACCTTGACCCGAAACAGTCACTCGGCCGTTGTTGCTGGAGGACATTGTATGGTAATTGATGGGGGTATATGGAGGGAAGAGAGGATTATGGGGGAGGTAGGGAGATAATTCACTACGTATATTGTATGATAATTCGGTGTATAATATAAATAATTCATCATGTACTTGGAGTTCATTGTATATATTAATGTGATAATTCGTCATATAGCCTCTTGATAATTTGCGGAGTTGGATGTAACATAATTCACCACACTGTACCATAATTCACCACATTGTACCATAATTCACCACACTGTACCATAATTCACCACGCTGTACCATAATTCACCACGCTGTACCATAATTCACCACACTAAAAGTACCATAATTCACCACACTGTACCATAATTCACCACACCGTACCATAATCCCCATGTGCAGGTGTGTCAGGTACTCGTGCGTTGTGAATGAGAGAAGTGACGCATGTGCATGTGGTGATGACGTCAGTTGATTTGGAGAGAGAGAGAGAGAGAGAGAGAGAGGGAAAGAGGATGGGAGAGGGGTGACAAAGGAAAGCAGAGAGGG